CTTCTGTTTCTAGAAAATATCCTGTTATATCAAATCACTCTACCTCTTACACATATTTACGCATACATGTTATCCTCAGATTACATTGAAAAACACTTTTTTTTAACTACTGAATAATAAACACTATCGCTTAACCACTGGTGTCTGTAGACAACATTTCATCCAATTCAGAATTCATCAAGAATTCGTCTATCATAGAAGGTTAGTTTTGAAAAAAGTAGACTACTTTTTAATTGTTAGTAAATAGGAAATATGAATCGAATCACAAAATTTTAAGAGTATACTTATTTTTGTAATATCTCTTAGTAATGAACTTACATAATTGTAAAGATCTTCTTATGAATGTTGAGGTGTTAGTCCTTTTTGTGGTCGACAGTAAACAAATTTATATATTATCTCATATTGCTTTCTCCAATAGTCATTTTATGACCATTTAATGAATATTTTATATATTATCCGGTAATGACTAGCAGTAGGATACTAAATCAGTGTGGTCTACAAACTAGTGACCATGAACCAAGCTTTAATAGAATCATATTCATTATTCCTATATAATTAAGTCAATCTATCTTCGTTGACTTAAATTTTCACTAGACCTTCACAAACCCTATGTAATTTAACTCAAATTCCTTTTGACATGAAAACACCATTAAGCTCATGTGATAAGATGCGAATAAGTGAGTATTTCTCATTCTCTAGGCGGTACAACATCACTTTCTATGAATTAAGTTAAGCTAGAGCCTTCTAGAACAAATCCAAAACTAATGTAAGTGTTCTTATAACACCAATCATCATCTCCACATAGATGTCTGACTATGACTATTCAAGTTTAGTGGTAATCAACGCCAAGATATCTTGGTTAGGATAAGAATGAAGAGATTGAAGGAGGTATGCCTCTCAAAAATTAATATGTTCTGTCTTGTCTATATGTCGATTTTTGGCATAAATGCATTTCAAATCTCTTAAACAAGACCATACTGGCTGCATCAGTAGTCCTTGTAAATTAATTTGTGTCAGTGAGCGATTTTCACGCTACCTCTTACTTTACTTATATGAATAAAAAAGGATAACTATTTTTCTGTTCTGATTTTTCTCCAGCCTAACATAATTCCACTTGTATGAACAATAAGGAAGTACTAGAAGACTAGTTACTTTTATTCTGAAACTCCTCAACAATATGTATTTATAACCTTTTCGATACTAAACTGACGGATGTAGAACTTTCTAATAAGAAGATTACCTTTAGATCCATCCAACTTATTTCCAATGACTAGCATTTTCCGGTGGGAACAATTAGAAATGTATTACAAATCATATGATCCGTGTTTACACTATCGCAGTATACTTAACTGAACTTTAAAAGCCATAAATGTGCATGCAAAATTGCAGCAGTTGTTCATCTATCCGGTTAATAATGAATATCAGGAACTACTTTCAGTTTCACCAGTTTTCGTAAGTTAAGTCCAACTAATTATTGTAATTCAATGGTAACTAAACAACAATAATTTGATTGTGGGCAATGAATGGTGCTTACAATGTCCCTGTACTGTATACTGTGTTAAATAAACAAAGTCAATGGGAATAAATCATTCAACTGATTAGTTGAAAGAAATCATTCACGGAAGGTCGAATAAACACAAGTATTAAAAGCTATGTAGAAAGTTTGTTTAGTTAACGGCGATATTATTTATTTATTGATAATTTTCAATTTTCTTCACTTCATTCTAGTTTATTCCAAAACTGTTCACCTACCAGCGCAATAGATTCATTTCATGGGAAAAAACATCCACGTAATCCATAGGTAATAACAAAGCGTACTGAAAAGATTGTTCTTGAAGTGAACAGCTTAGGTGATGTTAGTAGTCACCTTGTCAACCACACCTGCCTTATTTTGGAAAATGCGTTAGAATCTCGAGTTGCGAAAACTTTTTCGCCACAGGAAGGAGATAGCAATGCATTTGTACACAGTCATCTATATGTCAGTAAAAACTCCACTTGGTTATTGAATATGATGAGTGAATATGGTAAGATTATCAACGCAGTCAGCATGAGACAAGTGAATATTTTCGAGAGTGAACTCTTCTTGCTGGCTGGATTGGTTGTGACAACAGTCAGATTTTTTCCACGGATGACCAGCAGTCCACGTCAATGCTGCCTTCTGTATGCGAAAAGTTCGGCTGCCCAAACAACATAATCCTCCTTGTTTTGCAGTCTTCCAATACCGGCCGTATGAGTTTCTTAGGTCGATTCAAGACTTCCGAAATCAAATTTCAAACATCCAGAAACACAAAGCGACCGGCCTCTAGCAGATGTCTTTCGGTTTGCGTAGTCATGCACCACTACTAATCCAGTTTCTTATGCAAATACCCTCAGAAGAAGTAGCTTTCCATAGTGCGTTCAGCCGGGAAGTGCCAACCACACTCATGCTCCTGTCAGAACTCAAATTACCTTATATTATTATCAGTCTTTCAAGCCATCACTTACTTATCGTCCCTCCTATTTCTGAGTCCAAATGCCATATTCATCTTCACTATCTTTCAGTTCTGCAAACCTTTATGACGATTCGGGTTCATGGAGCTGCATCAATAGTTTCCTGAAACTGCTGTCTAAAATATACATTGAAGCTTTCAGTGTCCGTATCGTCCCCTGAATCAGACGACAAACCTCGTTAGCCAAAACTCTAGCACTCCGCACCAGAAGCATGACCTGTTTGTGAGACATGCAAATAGGATCCAATTGTGGTTGTTCACTTTACCCTACCCGGTCAATATGGTGAATCTACGAGATTTGCTCTTCGAGTTCCTGGAGATTCAGTTGCTGGTTCTCGCTGTTTGTCAAGTGTCAGTACAACACCAAGTTCTAATGCCGAAAGCTCAATGTTCGACTGGATCCCAATCGACAGTTGTCTGTGTGCTTTCCAACTGAGTGGTCCGGTGAGGATCAAAAAGAGTAGTGAGCCTCACCGTTTTCTGTTTATCATCTCTACTTACGCACTCACTAACTGCAGTTTGGATGAAGTGAAAGATGAATTTTTCAGAAAACTGCCTAACTTCCTGCCGAAAGCCAAGCGCTTAGATTTTGTTGCCATAGCAGGTGACTTTAATGCGCATTTGGGTAATTAAGTCAGGCAGAAAGGCATTTAGGTGACACTTTCAGGATCCTAGTTGCACGGATAGACAACAGCTATTGCATGCTACAACTTTGCTTGAACAACCGCTTGTTTCTGGTTAGCATAAACTCCAGACACAGAGATAGTGTCTAACGTGGCATCTAATGATCTCAATGCAGTTGTTGACTCAAATACACCATAATACCATCAGTTGTCATTGGGGAGGGTTGACAGAGGGTTATCACCCCATCTACAGCATATGTCTGGATGATGACCAAGCACTGCTTTGAACACACCTATTTCCTCACTGGATGAATGCAGGAAACTGAAGCTATAAGATCTTTCGGGCACCGCTCGGTGATGAGAACTTTAAGACTGCTTTTTTCAAATAACTGCTTAGACATTGCTTGGAACACAACAGCATCTTTTAGCCCAAAGGGACCTGGTACCACCTCCGGTCTACTGTCCAAACAAATTCAAAGACCATAACTGATCCTAAGGTAAAGGTGAGAATGAGTCAGTGGATGTGAGCAACTTCTTATGAACTTATGGATGAACATGTATGCAATCAAATGAACTCGAACACATCAGGCGCCTAGACAATTCATATATAGACTGAAGATGAGCACGTGCAATGGTCATGTACAGTGGTGGTCACAACGTTTGAAGAGGTTGGGAACACAGGGGCGATAGGTAACAGTAGACAGTTTCTTAAGCTTATTAATGAAACTAGGGTAAAAGTTAATGATTACTTAAGATAAAGTGGTGAAAGATGAGTCGGCAGTTTTCAGAATACTTCTAGGGACAGTTTACTTGACCTCTAGCTAGTTTCCGGTTTTCCACTATCCATTCTCAAACTGTGGGGAATATTGAGATTGTGCCTTAAAGCGTTTGAAGAATCTGAAAAGGCTGTAAATAATATGAACCAATAAATGGCAGCAGGCCCCAGTGTTGAAGTAATAAAAATATTTAAGGGCAGCGGTGAAGTGTTTGCCAACGTTTGTGAATCAGATATGATCATATCTGAGTGGTATGAATCATTAATCGCCTCAATCTCGTTGAAAGGCAAGAAGTCGTTTTATGACAACTACTGAGGACTCATTCTACGAATATGATTTCTAAGTGTCTGGGTTCTGTGATCATTAGATATCCCAGTGGAGCTTTGGGACAGAAAACCCGAGAAAACCAGCCAGGTTTTGGACATAGCTTTAAGTGCACCAACCAGATTTTCATCCTCTACACGATCTTGAAACTTGGACACAGTTACGCGCCCCCAACACTGGCTGGTAGATCTGCCGTACACAGAAAACATACTCCTGTTAAGTTAAGAGCTTAGAAAGATAAAAGCTTTTGGGATACTTTGAATGGCAACATAAAATTGTTCAAGATGCGTTTCTCAACACTTAAGTGCCCACTATTACTCCAGGATGGTTCTACATGTGTGTTTTGTCTAACAATATGGAGTGAAATGGTTGAGCATGTTGACTATTTCATTCGCTTGAGTCTTGACTGACTGACTGACTGGAGAAGTAAATACTTTAACCCTAAATGTTGAATGTACGTCCTCCTCCTGAGTGATAGCAAGTATGAAAGGTATACCTAAGGCTTTTTTGTCAACCTTTCTAAAGCACCAGTATAAAACGTAATATCAAACCAGTTAGATGGGCGACATCTTTACAAACACCGTAGGGTGCAATCAGCACTCCTGCTGACTGGCTATTTAATGACTGATCAGTGTGGCACTCTATACGCCAGCGATCCGACGGGTATAAAAGAAAATACAAAATCCATTGACTACCTTATAGTAAAAGTATACTTTTTTACTCACAGATGTTTCACACCTCACACCAGTAATACATCTCTTTTCTCTTTTGTTTATCCTGAAAATAAGGCTTTGAGAACAAATCGAACTCTGCTAACATTATCATTGAGTAATAATAAGATTGGAGATATTGGGTGTATTGCATTAGCAAAGGTGAGTGTTTTAGTGCGTTTTTATTTTATATATTATTTCCATGTGAAAGTATGGTAGCGTCTATAGCGATTCCAAAATCTGTGCACCTTTGCACTGTTGGATAATAGATTAAAATGAGATTAAATCTTGTTCAAAACAGGTTTCTAAAGAAGCATTTAACGCTAAGACTGATAATGGTTCAAAAACAAAAGGTATGAACTGTACATGTGATTTAAATGCACATCCAGAAGGAAAAGCAGTTCCTGCCTTTCGAACGATCTTCGTCTGAGAATAAGTATTAAATTACCTGCATTTGAATCATATATATTCAAGAATAATCTTGATTCAAATGAACAGTCTAAGTTTCTTTTATCGTTAGCGCCATTTGAATATGAGTGACTTAAAAGTTCACCCTAGTAGTCATCGTATAAACCAATTCAGTTATTTTATTTTGGCAGCGAAAGTAGTTTTCCTATACAATAATGAAGCCTAATTTATTATTTCAGTGGTTGCTTAAGTAACCCTGTTGTGTAGTCTACAAAGTAATAAAGATACAGTGGTTTTCTTAAACTAACCAGTTTCTGTCGATAATGCTGGTCACAGGTTTGACCTTCGTAGCATTGCCTGGGCTTGGTGTAATCACTGTGTCAACAATGTAGACGTCAAGCGAAGGGAGCCAAGCAAGGAACGCAAGTTGGTTGATGAGGTTGTGAACCTTAGTCGACTGAGATAGCTTGGACATGTACTGCACATCCCGAACCCCACCTACTTTGATGTGTATTGTTAAGAGAAGTTGGAGTAACTTGGAAGAGGGCTAAGAGTGGCCAGATCAAGACCTGGGACCAGACCACGTTATATCCTGTTTGAGACTCATAAAACAGCTGCTCCCTTATCTTGATGTTGACATTCCCACTGATATCTAATTCCAGTATCTATTATCTTTAAATTCAGTTTGCTATACCTTGGGTAACTAGGCTACAATAGTTACCTTATGCACGAAGTCAAAATGATGCATTCAGCCCATTGTTGCTTTTCAAAATGTGTGTTCTATGAGATACAAATAATAGTAAGATGACTCAAGGGGTTATGAGACAGACTAAAGGGTGTAGGTGTTTGATCGGTAGGATGAAAACTAAGTGAGATTATGAGGGATTCGAAAAGCAGCTAGATTCATCCCGATCTAATTTCCACCCCCAAGATTTTCGTGATGAATGTTTATTTATGCAGAATTTAATTATCGACCTTTATTGTAAACACTTAAGTACTTAGTCCCCACCATTATCTCCCGTTCATTGCTGTTTTCCTTTTATCACAGATTTTTATACACACATCCAACTTTGCTGTCAAAAATATGTGATGAGTAGTAATTGGAGGTGAAATGGAAAATTGGGCTGCGGTGGGATTCGAACCAGTGACCACCGGTCTTCCGACCCGATGTTCTGTCACCTGAACTACAAGACCCGAAAGCTGACCAGATGTTTATTTCACTCTAATCACTAAAGATTTTTCCTGACTGTCAAGTGAATCAGAGTTGTTCTGCAACCGCCTGGTCGTATTCATACTAGCTATCTAGTCAAAACTTTTTATCCCAATCCAAGTCTACTTGAATTAGAGAGGGACAAAACAGTGACCACTAGTTCGAATCCCTCGGCAGTTCATGTTTTATTTCAGTATCAGCACAAGTTTGTTAAACCACCGCTATCTTAGAAGGTCAAGGTGATAATCAATATGATGCTTCCTACCCAGTAACTCAAGCAGATTTGGATTGGGATGAAATGTCCTGACCTTGCAGCCAATGTGAATACGATCAAGCGGTAGTAACGTGTCATGAATCCATATGGTAGCTGGGTAAAACTCTTAGTGATTGAAGTAACATATAAATTTGATTCGAGGTCGTTTATCGTAGTTCAGTTGTTAGAGCACCGGACAGGAAGCTTGATGGCTTCTGGTTTGAATTCCGCCGTGGTCGAAATTTTCATTTCACCTTTAATCATCACCTAGCATGAATGTTAGCCTGCCGAACCACGGCTTTTTCAGATAGTCAGAATGATAAAAGCACACGCACTTATTTTAATACTTTTGCTTTCTTTAATAATAGGACATAGTTTTTAACTAAAAAAAGTTTCAAGCACCTGTTTACGCAGTACATCCATTTAGATTTTCTTTTTGATCTTTATAATTTTGGATTATGAAGGCGGAAATCAGTAAATTCAGTATAGTTTCGAAAGCTTTGTGTATTCCTTAAGTAGTAAGAAAGTGCAGAATGGAATTATTCCTAGAACATTACGAAGTCTGAGAGAGTTCCTTAGATCACTTTGAGCTCAAATAACACAAGTACCATTAATCGGATTAGGTAAAGGCTTTCAAAGTGGAAACAATAAAATCTTAACGAAAATGTGGTGAGATTTATAATCTACTCCAACATATTTACAGATGCTTTTTGCTTGAAGTGAAGCTACCTGTCGTATTTGGAACCTTTAAAAAGTGCTCGAAAACCAGTTTTAGTTGGAAATAAAATACACGGTATTATATAGCGTTTCAATCCTTTACGATGAGTTCCTTATTGAATGTATAGATTTCTGTCAATGAGATCTACATAGTGAAGTTGGTAAGTAAAGTCTCGTCAGTGATCATTGGGAACTTATGTGTCCTATCTGACGCGTCCATATGATCATTTGAATTACAGGTTTTGCATTCTTGCCCGTTACTTTAACAAAAATGCTGTGCATCATAATACACCATTTATCAAAAACTGGTAATGTTAAGATTGGCAACCCAAATGATAAATCTCAGTATATTTATCTGGTTGGTATTTTGTTTTTCTAAGAGCACTTTTATCCACTTTCAAAAAGACACCATATATTTCCATGCCTTAACAGCATGATCAGGGTATTACTATTGTACTGATGTAATATCAGTTACATTGCTTAGTACAGTTACGCTGCAATTCTGAGCTCCAGTTATTTAGTAACGGTTAAAATTATTTTTCCTCACTATCATATAAGGAAAAGCTCATGAAATTGTTTTCTTTGTGATTGGTGTTTTAATATATGTGAATTAGATTTTATCTTTCCCAATTCGGCATTTTACTGGCATCCCACAGCAATTCTCAAGAAATAATTTACTTATTACATACTCTTTGCTACAAAATCTCCCCTTTTCTGTTTATGTTTGACAGCATTACTTTAAAAAATTTTTCTCTTCACTAATCATAGCTGAGTGTCAATCTTGATTCCAAGTGGTCACTTTGTGATTTGCTCATAGACAGAATTCTTTAGTAGTTCCATTGAAATATCTAAACTTAGCTAACGCACACCAAATGCAAGCTTCTAATCATAATAAACAGAATAGTTAGTTGATTTCAAGTTAGTATTCATCATGAACTGACATCCCTTGTAGAACCATTGAGAACCTAAGGGCAATGGACAGCTGATACGGACCGTTCAGCAGTCAGCATCCTTGACCCGAACCTAGAACTTCCAAGTCCCATGGCGAGCTCGTCACCTTTCTTCCAGTTGGTTGGGATCCAATCGTCGATATTTTCGTACTTTTATCAGTTTGCGATATTGTGCGGCTTCCACCCAATAGCGTCGTTGACTGACCACCGTCATCGCCGACTTGGTTGTTGAAAAATATATTTACAAACTGGAGACAACAGTTGTTCTGTATTGTATTTAATATGTAGGAAATTCAAGTAAATTTTAACAATCATTTGACACTCTTATTATTTTTCCCTTTGGTTCCTAGTGGAACATAGGGCTTCAGTAGCACGACTCCATTGCACTCCTAACTCTGCAGTCTTTTACACCTGGCGCTACGACGGCCCACAAGCTTTCATTTCGTCCTCACATCATCTCCTTCATGTCACCCTTGCCTCGGACGCCCAACTCGTCGTTTCCCATCTGGGTTCCACTCGAGTGCCTGGCGCGTGATGTCTCTATTCGACCTTCTCATCTCCACTTTCTTCTGCATATTTGTTGGGTAATAGGTTCTTGGTTGATTCGTTAATCATTTGACATATCTACTACTTATTAATATTAAGCTAACTGAAACTAATCATAGTGTCTTTCTCAAATGTATGCAACTGTGCTTTATCATAATATTGATGGCATCAATCAGACTATTTCTGGCAGTCTGAATCTATAAGATGATGTGACAAACTATAGAAAGAATTTATGGTTAAGTCAAGCGTATTTATCGAATTCTCATGTGAATAAATGCAAGTTGCATGATTGTTAAATTTTTTTTATAGTTTTCTTTCTCAATTCTCTTTAACTTCAAGTAATTTGGCACATATTCTGCGAATAAAATATTTATTTTGTCAAAAATGAAAAACCAGTTGGTATAAACTTGTTGATGGAGTATTTCTACTCATTATTTATTGTTTCATATCAAAAAATATCTGAAATGATATCATATCTTTTTGTTAACCTTGGATACAACACTTTGTTATCTTGAAGGTGAGTTTCACCTACATTTCACAATTGTGGGAGATGAAATATTGTTTTGTCCTACCACAGTCAGTTATACCAATATACACTAAGGTGTCTAGCTGCAGAAATCAAAACAATAGGAATCAGTGTTGGGTAGTGGCTAGCAGTAGAATCCGGGATTCGCATTTCGTCCTGTTTGAGACTCATTATCTGTATGTACCTGCCTCCCAGTCAGTGACGTTCTCAACGGTATAGTACAAGCATTTATACTAATAGGAATCAATAAATGAAAACTCTTAGTGATATGGCTTAAAATCGATACCAGTTGTGCAGAAATACACGCTTTTAGTCATTTTCAAAGTCTTAAGTATTCTTAGTGCACTTCATGTATTTATGCTTTCTCCTTTCAGAAAACTTTATGAACTACAGCTTCATTCCTTTTCTATGCATCTTTTCTTCTCATATTGTTATAAAGTAGGCAACTTGGAATAATTTATTTTTGTGACACTGAGCAGAATAATATTACTTTCTAAGATGTGGCTGTTAAATACTGATCAGTAAGTTAGGAGTGTTTATTTCTTAACTAGACGTTAAAGGTAAATAAAACGAAGAGGTTACGCGTTGTAAAGCGTAACAACTTTAAAACCTACAATCTTGTGTCATGTCCTAACATTACTGAAAGTAGCCATCACAAAATTAGAGAAAACGAGAAGTTCAGAGGAGATATATTTATTGGCTATTTCATTCTCTTTAGCTATACAATCGCAATTTACGCACTTTTGTTTAACTATACTGGATAGTTTCAAGAGCTATTTAACTAAACCTAGTTACGAAGACTAGGTTGGATAAAGATTTAAAATTGACAAGTATGGGATGCAAGGTGAAAATTAGTCACAAAAGAGCATAGAAACCAACATAATTAACCGGATAAAATTTAAAGTTGTAAGAAAAAGCTTGTTCAAGGGTAGCATCGAAACAAAATGAGGACAATATTGAGTAATAAGAATATATCCTAAAATACAACAAAATTTTGAATAAAAAGAGAGATAAAGTTGATTGATTGTCAACAACTAACTAAGTTCAAGGTAGCAACAAAGATTCAGCAAGTTTCTTTTGTACACATAATTCCGGTTTCTCTATGCATGTCACTACAGCTTCTGTACTATACAAAAGGTGGGAGCGCTCCATTTTAGGAAAAATTTCTTTTCACTATATATATGGGTTTGAACTTTAAATCAGTTGTGATTCTGTAATCAGTGTTGACAAGGTGTTCAATTATTGCGCTTCTGATGGATCCACTCGTGCTTCTTTGCAGGCAGGGGGAGATAATGTTCTCTAACCCGTTTTGAAATAAGATGCACCGAACGAAGCGCATACCTGGCTCCACGAGAGCAGGTGATTTGAAAAACATGAAAGTGATCAGATGCGGAAGCTTATCCTTCGGGTTACCAGGAAAAATTAGAGGACTGGAGGATACTATCCTAAACGTTGACGCGAAGAAATTTTTCTTCAGGATGTGAAGTCACCCTTGAAGTCAAGATTCATGCATAGTATCTTCTTCTGAACTGAAATGGGTATCAATCTTTGTGGTTTAAGTCTTATATCTTTTCCACAAATCGTCCTAGGTATCATTTTTCAGTCAGAATGCTTCTGAGAAACGTGAGTTCTTCTAACCTATCAGAGCTGCAGATTCTTCGAATACAGTAATCAAGAGACACAACTTATAGTTACCCAACTGTAGTAGCTGATCAGCTGGCCACTCCATACAGATTTCCGGTATGTAAGCCTCGTCAATGTCTCATCATCTCGTCTAGCGAGTTCTACATCTAAAAATGGGATCGTTGATTCGCTTTTACTTTAACTGCGAATTTAACTGAGGGGTGAAAACTGTTAAATAACATAGTGTAAATCCCAATCATCATGGCTAACTAGGAAGATATCATCAACATACCTTTTGTACACCGAAAACTTGTCAATCATTGGCATTAGACTACTGTTTTCCAAAGTGAACACAATACAATCTACCAACAGTGGGCCAAGAAGAGAATCCATAGCGTTTCCATCTGTCTGACAGTCGCTGATATCGTTGAAGGAAAATTCTGCAAAGATACCTGTTATCAAAAACTTGTATTCTTTTCATATCTTCTACTTGCAGTGTCACTTAGCTGAGCAAATCTGCCTATATTATCATGTATCATTCGTTTGAAGGAATCCAAATAAAATGTCACTAACTAGGAGAACAAAATATGAAGGCATCAAGAGGGAAGAAACTGAGACTAACTCCTCAGGAAAAGAAGCAGATTTATGTAGATGAAAAAAGGTTGAAATGTAGCTTTCAAGGGACTACCGTGTACATACATCTGGTTGAAAATGCTTTGTTGTAATAAAATCAGCTGTGTAAAATATTAGTAAGGGCCACTTTGGCAGTTCGATGGTTGCGCATTATGTGGCAAGGTAATTAACTGAATAGTTTAGAATAACAAACGTATGGAAATGTCACGACTACTTCGCTTGACAAGAACAAATACAAGTTCTGCCCAAATATCTTTCTGATTTGAGAATTATATAACTTTAATAATGTGATCCCCATATTGCTCATTAATAACTCAAATACAAGATTTATTTATGAATTATTTTTGACTATTTAAGAAAGTCTATTTCATGAAGGTGTTGCTTTCTCCATGTAAGCATCTTTGACCGATATAAATGTATCGTGAAAGTGTCATATTAACCAAGAAGTCAGTTTAGAACAGTTTTGGCTTACTTCTACTAAAATCTTGATAACATGGAGCATATTAGTATTTCTAGGTCAATAGTATACGTTCTCGAGAGTTTTGATTCAAATATTCACTGCTACTGGAATTAATTTTCTGTTTTCTTTAGGTTATATCTCAGTTTTTTTTAACTCATGAAGAGATTGTCTACCGAAGATTGTGTTATTCAGAGAAGGCCAAGTCTGAATCATTACCGCCAACTTATGTAAGTCATTTCAGTTGTGATAAGAAAGATTATCTAAGATAATTTTATGATAAATGATACTGAATTTATAACGGCTGTGTTTTCCTACTGCAATTATTTACGTCAGTTTAATGATGTTTATAAAGGTAAAATTGGATAAAATACGAAGATAGTTAACTTTGACTTCTACTAAGAATGTCTATATGAGGCCATGTTTTCCCCTTATCGACATGTGTGTAATATAGTTTTCATCAAATGACTAGTGAACAGTTAACTGTGGTGTTTAAATTGAAGTAAGTATTATCAATGTTTGCAATTATATCATGCAAGCCATTTAACGACGTTATGCAGTATATTTCATGGACCCGCTGTGCAATAATTAATGAAAGTTTGGTCAAAATTCAACACGCTATATCTTTATAACAATTAAGGAAGAGGAATAAATATTTTCAATTAATATAAACAATAGGTTTATCTAATATAAGTGTAAAACTTGGGCACTGTGGTCGAGTGTAATTCCATTTTAGTCTGTTTATTAGAAATATCACGCAGTGAAACAGTAGCATTTACTGGATAAAGTTTCGGGCACAGTTTATTGTCCATATTCATTTCAGGTAACTCCACAACTTCGAGACAGTCTTTATATATTCCTAGTTTTCTCTCCTTTTCTGTGATGACAAGGGTAGCAGAATTTTCCGTATATCTGGGACAGGTGCAGCATCATTTCGATTGCATGTGTTTGGTGTTGATTCGATAAACAAAGATTCGGTTATCAATCTCTTCCTCCATCCAACTGTTGCCGTATCCCACCCTACTGTGTGATTATGTGTCATCACATACAGAGCTATAGCCGAGTTTTTCTCTAGATTTCTTATCTTGATAGGATCTACTGATCTTGATTTAGCTAAGTTTTTGTGTTGTTATTCTAATCGACCCTGGTTGACTGCTTTGACCCATGTACTTGACCTCGCAATCATTGCAAGGGATCGGGTAAACCAGATTATTTTGCTTAATTGCATCAATAGCATCTTTTAACCTACAAAGCTTGTTTCTAAGTGAGTTTGTTGGTTTGAATGCCACTTTAATCCCAGCCTTATTGAGAATTCTTCGTAGTGCTTCTGAGGTGCCTTCCTTGTATGGCAACACAGCAGAGGCTTTGAATTCTCTCTTAACCCTGTAGCCAATATTATCGCTAGTAGTGGGAATATTATTAATAACATCTGTATTACTACTTCTACTACTACCACTGCTAATATTTTTCTTTCAATTTCTTCTGAATTTATTTATAAACTTTGGTGGGTAATTATTGAGACGTAGGGTATTTTTGATGTGTCTAATTTCTCGTCGCAGATTTTCCGATCTACTAGTAAGCTTTTTCGCTCTATCACCTAAACAGTTAATTAGGCCTACTTTAACTGAAATGGGGTAGGTTTATCTGGAAACTAAAGTGTAAGAAATTATTAGTACTTGATCGACAGTTGACCTAAATGTATCCGATGGATGCTCAAGACTAATTCAATAGCGAATAGGCTGCACATATATATTATTCAATACGTTGATATGATTAAGGAAAATAATTTATGCTAGAAATGTCATAAAGTAAATAATACTGTATCACCGTGTGTTATGCAATAAATAAACAAATCTAGTATGGATATTGGACGTTCTCGGTGGGGAATTATGATAACCGTATCTTTCTCGCTCTGGAAACAGTGCCGACTAACTACACTATTTCACTGAATGTTCTGTATTCGAACTTCTGTTGGCTTATCAGAGCCTATGATAAGTTACCGAGTAAATTGTTACATGCAGTGGTGTCCATCAAGGATGTCCGCTCTCCCCATTTTTACTTAGTTTTGCAATAGACTTGGTTATGATCATCTCACTCTCAGTATCTTACTTAACAGGCATTAATGTTGTTATATTAAAGAGTTTTAGTAGACTTAAAGTACAGAGATAACATAGTCCTGTTATGTGAAGACGTTGACAAGATGTAGAGTCTACTGAACACCATGACTGGGGATTTGAGAATGTTTGGGATGGAATTTTTAGCACTTAAATGTAAAATTTTTTCCTGAAGTGGTCTTTGCTGATGCCTTGTCTAACAACAATGGTTGTGCGCGTTTACCAGTTCACTTATCTGAGAAGTCGGATCAGCGGGGGTGGGTCAATGAAATAGCAAACCTGTACATTGATTGATAAGGCTCGCTTAACTTTCATCAACTTATACCGTATATGGCGTGGGAGTGCCATTCTAACACATATTAAAGGTTGAGTCTACCAATATGCAATTCACTATTTTCGCTTTATGGCTGTGAAACATGACCGCTGAAATTAGAGGAAATGAGAAGGCTACAAGTGTCCGACCACCACTGTGTTTGTAGCGTAGATTGTGTGTCACAATATCACCCTGCCAGTGAGATAAATGTTACGCATGACTAGTCACCGTCTCCCACACCGCACAATGTTAGCTAAAGTAGGTCCAGGCTGGAAAAGAGTTAGAGGTGACCAGACTAAAACATGGCATCAGTCTCTGAAGTCTATAACCGCTGGTTTGACTCATGTACAGGAATGTAGAATTTCCGATTGGGGTTGGCGTGACACCGGAAACCACTGGTTGGAGACCTTTGCTGATATGACTTAGAAAAAATTGGCGGTATAAATGTATCCACTTATTATCTTGATTTTACTTATTATGCTGAATTTCATAAAAGTCTCATTGCCGCTTACTATCTCTTCATAACCTAAACGTTTAGTGTTGAATCCCCTGACTTTGGTGCGCAGAAACATCTGAGGGGAATAGTACTTACTTCAGAACTGATATTGACTGCCAACAGGTGTAACAACTGAATTGAAGACTTGCAGGTGTAGGCATAACACTAAGCACTAGGGCAGAAAACTGACTGCTAGACTGGATCCCAGTGGATAGTCGCCTCTGCGCTATGCCGCTGAACTGCACGGTACGAACAAAAAAGAATAGGAAGACTTGCCGTTGTCTCTTTGTAATCTCTGCTTACGCACCCACTGACTGCAGCTCGGATGAAGTGAAGGACAAGTTCTACCATAAACTGTCCAGCCTCATCTCGAAAGCCAAATATTCGGACGCAGTGGTTGTTGCAGGTGGTTTCAACGCACTGGTGGGTGGCAGAAAGGCACTTAGGTGGCACTTTCGGAGTCCCAGCTGAACGAACAGATAACGGTGATCACCTATTATAACTGTTGTCAGATAATCGCCTGTTCCAGCCAGTACGAATTTCAGACATAACAAAAGACACTGTCTGACGTGGCGTCCACCGAGCCCAACCCAGTGATGGACAAAGACAGACCACATTGGTACTAGTCAACGCTGGAGAGGATCGGTGGAAGACTGCTGCTCCTCCTGGAGTGCATGATTGGAGAGAGACCATGCGTTGGTCTGAGTGCGTATATGTCTGCGTCTCAATGAACGTAAGAAAAATTTGGCTACAAAACCACCACAATTGCTGCTGGACAGCGAAAACACTGAAGCCGTGTTCAGTAAGAAGTAGGCTTGGCAGTTATCGGGACAGAAGACTGTCACTCATCCACAAGAAGCTTGGTGCCATCTCCAGTCTACTGTGAAAGCAGCGTTGAAGACCGTAGCCGACTCCGAAAGAGTGGCTAAAAAGAGCCAGGGGATATCAGCAGCTTCTTCCGAATTAATGGATGCACGTGAACGCATCCCTGAAGGCCCCGAGTACAATGAAGAGCGAGCGCAACTTAAAGATAGACTGAGAAAAAGTCTACGCAATGACCGCGAACAATGGTGGACAGCGAAGGCTAAAGAGATGGAAAAGACAGTGGCGATCGGTGATAGCAGACAGTTATTTAGACCTATTAAGGAGACTGGGGAAAAAGGTCAGCAACAGTTAGTGAGACTATAGCAGAGAAGGACGGATCTGCGATTCACTCACAAGGGAGACAACTGGAACGATGGGCAGAACACTCCGAGGAACAGTTTGACTGGGCTCCAGCCACCATTGCGTTGCCCGCTATCCAGTATGATCCTGAATGGAACGTAGAGATAGGTCCCCCAACACTAGAAGAAGTTGAGAAAGCAGTAGGTAACCTGAAATGAGGAAGGGCAGCAAGACCAGACGGACTATCTGCTGAGGTATACAAGGATGGTGGTAAGATGCCCTCAGTCAGGTTAACGGAAGTGTTAGCTAGTATATGAGAATCAAATACGATCCCCTCCGACTGGTCTAAGTCACTGATTATCCCAATCTTCAAGAAAGGCAAGAAGTCCTCTTGTGATAACCACAGAGGAATCAGCCTGACGAACATAGTGTCCAAGATCCTAAGTTCTATAATCCTCCAACGCCTGAGTGGAGTTCGGGAACAGCAAGCCTGAGAGAACCAGGCAGGATTTAGACCTGGCAGCAAGTGTATTGACCGAATATCCACACTGCCCCAGGTTCTGGGACACAGAAAAGCTTACCGACACCCGACAATAGCTGTATTTCTCGATCTGAAGGCGGTATTCGACTCCGTTGATCGAGAAGTCTTATGGCAATGTCTCTCACTGAAAGGCGTACCGAGTAAGTACATCACCTTATTGAAGGCTCTCTACTCGAACACTTGTCGGCATGTTAGAGCCTATGGTGAGATGTCCATGGAGCTATGCTTATCGAGTGGTGTCAGTCAAGGGTACCTACTATCTCCATTCTTATTCAATTTCATCATAGATATTCTTATGGTGGTCTCCCTCTCGTCACCTGATTACACAGACGTTGATCTAATCGCAGGAGAATTTTCGTTAGACCTAGAATATGCAGATGACATGACATAGTCCTGTTAAGTGAAGACTCTGACAAGACGCAGAGTCTTCTGAACACTTTGAGTGGGAATTTCAGAATGGTTGGGATGCGGTTCTCACCACCCAAATGCAAATTGTTGCTCCAGAACTGGTCTTCAGCGGTACCACGGCTAACAGTAGGGAGCGAAGTGGTTGAGTGTGCCGACCACTTCACTTACCTGGGAAGTAGGATCAGCCCTGGTAG